AGTGATGTGTGAGAGGTGCTGCAGGGAAGAGAGCGTTCATGTGAAGAGATGGTGTTTGAGGCAAGAGGTAACCACTCGGTCAGTAGCTGACATTTTATGTAAGCTGGAGAGCAGTGAGAAGGGCTGTGGGATATGCAAGGATTCCTACTTCACCTTCACTGGAATGTAGGGCATCTGAGGGAGAAACAGCAGGAGATGACCTGAAGAGCCAGAGCTGCCATGTGCAGAGCCTTATGTACCAGGTTCAAGTTTATCCTATTTGTGGTGGCAAGCCTGCGAAGGATATTGGTTGGTAACGTGGCAGAAGTGTATGTTTCGTGAAGGGCACCCTAGCTTCAGTTCGTAGGTAAGTCTGAGTTGTGGGGATAAGTTGTGATTCTCTGAGGAGGCTCCAGACATCGCTCTGCAAAGATGAGTGATGAACCGGAAGAGGTAGAACGTGACTGCAGAGGGTGTGAGTGAAGGAAGAGAAGGCGGACAGGGTGTAATTGGAGACTGGATAGTTGGTGTGGAGAAGAAGGTGGACGTAGTGTGATTGGAGACTGGACAGTTGGTGTGGAGGCAATGGAGTTAAGGAAGACTTCTGAGAAATCTAGGTTGGCATGATTGAGTAGCTGATTTTTCTGTGTATATTTATATCCCTCCCCCCCCCGCTTCTTTTTTTTCTAAGGATCATACAGGGTAAGGTGTCCTGCCCTCATGTATTGTAAGTCTCCCAGTTCCTTTACTTCTTTCTGCACATATCCTGGACAGTGGCCAGAATATTTCCTAGAAAGAGAATAGATAACAAAAGTATAGTTGTTAAATTGTATTGATGACTCTGAGAAGTTTAGAATAAAATTACAGATTTTTATCTAACATCTGGACCACCCTGTTGTGTTCCTGGCATCGTCTCTAGGTGCAGTCGGTGCCACTTCATCAACTTAACTTCAGTCTCCTTTCAGGTTCCAAAGTGGGCTCACTCTTCTGTTTTCAGTCTCTTTTCATTGAATCTCCTCTGTGTGGTAGGGTTTACTTTTCTTCTGCAGCTCCCAGATAAGTGTCTGTTCCTTAGAGAAGCCAATCCTGTCCTTCCACCTCTTCATGTACCCACGGTCGCTGTTTCATCCCACTATTTAATACCACTGTGTACATGTGTCTCTGGAGGTACGACATTTTATGTCTGTCTCACATCAGGATCTGTGAACTCACAGAACTCGATTCTTTTCCTCACCATATGCAAGTGTTTATAGAACAAATAGTAACTGTTTAGTAATTATTTGGGCTGCCTCATCTAAAATAAAGCAATCATACTGAACAGTATTTAAACCATTTTAAGGAAGAATAAGAACAGGTAATTAGAGCTAGCTAGAAGTTTCCTGTTTAAATAATAATAAACTAAAATTTACCATTACTTTTTAAAAGTCACTGGGACACCATTTTAATCCTGTATGCTTTACTTTGCATGTAAAATAAACAAAAAATCAGCTGAACTAGAAAGCGTAACCCCTTCCCTTATTTAAGGAGGAGGTGGCACAAGAGAATGGCCAACTTCTGAGGGAGGAGGAAATTGTTAAATAGTTTTACCTGATTGGGCTTCTCGATGAAGCATCTGTAGTTCCTTTTCAGCCTAAACAGTGTGTCATAGCTTTTGAGATGCGCTATTAAAATATATCCTTTGTATAATCCAGAGTGTCTTTAGTTCTACTTAAAATGACAATTTCAAGTGTTACTACAGGCCATGTAGTTGTGTCTTCTCTTGATAATTTATTCTCTTTTAATAAATTATGAGATAATTTATTCTCATATACAAAATTAGAAGTGACTGAATACTTTCCTTTTAATGTCCTTTAAATCCCTTTTAATGCTGCCTTCTTATGTAGAGTTAAACTGTACAAAATTTTAAATAGAATTATGTAGGTGTAAGATGCATGACTATAGTCCGGAGATTATTCTGGAACAAAGACAGGAAGATGGAGATATCAAGGACAGTCTGCGCTGTAAATAGGTGCACTCTGCCTCCAAACTGAAAACAGTACAACCAACACAATTAACTTGAAGTGTTATTCTACAGAATGACTTGCTAGTTTGCACACAGATGAGCCATGCCAACTTAGACTCTCTGAGGTTATGTGTGTTTTCCTATTTCTCCATCATTCTTTGTGGATTAGATGATGTGTAAAATGATAATGCTGTCTAAGTAATAAGGTCACCCTGGGCATATGAGGGTTGTATGGTGTTCTGAATAGTCAAGACTTGAAAACAAATGAACCAGCATGTTCCTGATGGTCAGGTGTACAGTCTTTTCAGCTGGAAATGGGTTTCAGTCCACATCAGGAAATCCCAGGAAGAAGGACTCTCTGTATCAGCCAGCAGAGGGTAGTGTACACATAAAAGTGAACCACTGCCTCATGAGGCTCCTTTGGCAAGTGTGTTAGAATCCCGAGATGGCTTATGTTTAGAATTAGCGGAACTGATAGGACAGCGGTTAAAGTTGAGATCTGAAGTGTGTGCTACCATAACGTTGCTCTTTCAGGAGGAATGGCCTCTAAATGTCAAACCTCATTTTAAAGGACCCACTAATCTGCCATGTGGGAAATTGACTCAGTCGTCTATGTGTTCCTGTAACTTCTAGCTTTTAAGAAGGACGGAAGGATAATGAAGAAAGCATGAGCTTTTGATGTCTGCCTCGGGCCGCAGTCAGGCGGTACTGCGTCCCAGCTGTATGGCTTGTGGCGGATTGTTAAAGCTCTTTCTATCTCCATTTCTCCCTCTCCACCATGTAGATGAAAAGAATGCAGAAAATTAAATAATTACCTTAGACAAGACTCAGTTGATAACAAATCCGTAGTAGTTCTTTTTTGAAGGAACGTGTCTCTTTCTTCCAATGTTTACATTCGCTGACTGAATGGGGAGAGGTCAGAGAGCTGTTGTTGGTTTCTGTGTTTTCCTGCTGACGCTTAGTCACTGACTAAGAAGCAGCAGTGGGCGCGAGTGCAGTCAGATGTACTGATTGTTCGCTCTGTGCGACTGCTCCCCTCATTGTGGCCCTACTGCTGTGGGCTGGGCAGAGCGTCCTTCTGTCTCCATCACCACAGTCTTCTCTCCTTTCTGTCTTCACTTCATATGCATGCTGTATTCCATGTTTATGAAAAGTTTACAGGATTGAAGTTCTGTGATGTATAAATGACACCATGATTGATAGTTGTAGACAGGTTTGGAACTGTTAGAAAAACCAAAAGTCAAACACCAGACATGCTTGGGTGGATGAGGAAGATCAGAGGCTGTTGCTTGAGGATCCACTTCCTTTTTCAAAGAAACACATCTCGGTGGCCTTCAAGATACCGAGTTTGAAAAACCAAACAGAACAACAACAACAAAAGGACAGGAAAACAAAAAGCCTGCAGCTGTCCCTGGGCAGGGGGAGCAGTGAAAGGCCTTGGAAACTGCGGGGCTGAAGACCATTGTCTCAGGTGTGAGCCCTGGTAAAGGAAGCGAGCGACAGATGGACAAGGAACCTTTGAAAGAGGAAACAAAAATTGATTCTGCTATTTGTTTCAAGTTGTGGTGATGTCATTTTATGTGGCATTTCTGTGTATGTGATGATGGATGGTCCATGAGAAACATTTGTCAGTTAGGGTGTGTCCACATAGGTGGAAATTTTAGCCACAGTCCCAGAACTGTCTGGCTTACCTCAAAGCAAGTCTTAACTGCTCCCAGATCCTTGCCTGCTCAGGGGATTTGGAACTCCAGGAGTTTCTGTAATGTCTGTTTCACAGTTGGGGGATAGTTGATCTTAAAAGTGGACATTTGAGCCAAGACTCATGCGCTTACCCAACACAGATTCCTCTGCTTCCTGGGATATGAAGAAAATGAGACTGTCCCCTGTCCCCTGTCCCCTGAGCGCTGGATCACCAGTTTGTCTTATTGGTCTCCTTTAGTTCAATGATAATATATTTGATAATATATCTGCCTCGCTTTCTCTTTGGTCTGTAAAGGAAACCTGTTTTCCACCGTGCGTGGCTTTTGTTCTCCCTTCTTGTTGAGGTCATATTAGAAGCCTGGGCCAGAGAGGTGCGCTTCCGGCATTCCGCGTTTCTGGTCTTCCTCGTCCTCCTCGCTGGGGAGGGTATTCCATGGAGTTCCATGATCTACTTTCAGTCGTCATACGTGGCAATAGGAGCCATAGGGAGAATAGCAGACAGAAAGGCAGGGCTGGGAGGACCTTGATGCTGGTGTTCCGATTCTTGTGCCAGAGAACAAAGCAAGATGCCCTTCAGCAAACTGATATGTAAATTTAAACTAAACTCCCCAGAGCCCATGGGTAATTGAATATGAATGTAAAGAAATACATAGAACACTGTATTTCTAGGTTTGCTTCAGAACTTCAAGTCATTTGTGAAATTGAGAGGCTAATGTTTGACAGTTTCCAGCAGTCTTCTCTCATCTACACTGGGATGCTGGGTCATTCTGACCAAGACTGACTTTTCTGGTGCCCAGTGACTATCTGTCTGAGTGCCAACCCTTGTTTGGCTGTGACGTTTACACTATGGAGCCCCTCTTCACCTTGTGTCTGCATCTCTTGTGTTGGAATCTTTCGTAGCACTCCTGGATGTGGATGTAGTGTGCAGCCTTGCGTGATCTCATGGCATTGCAGCACTGCCACGGTTCCTTGGTACACCCCTTTGTCCTTGAGTAGAAGCTTCTTTGGTATTTTCCATAGCCCCAGTGATTTCAGTGTGTGTTAAACCAGGAATGACAAGCACTTGTAGTCTGACCATGTTCTTTGGAATTTTCTCTCTGCCCTGAGTAATGAAAGTGTCTCCTTTGTTCAGTGTTCTGAGTATCTAGTGAGGTTGAAGTGAGGCTGCATTGAATTCCCAAGTGTGATGCAGATGTGGGACGGCTGTTCACGCAGTGAAGCCAAGCAAATGCACCTTGGAGTGAGTGACTGACACGGTTAAAGGGCAACTGAAGAAACAACTGACGTGTCTTTATCTTTTGTGTTTCTTTCCTGCCAGGACCGGGACCAGTATTCACACTTGCTGAGTGACCATTTTCTACCATACCAAGGTCATAATTCCTTTCGTGAGAAATATTTTAGTGGTGTGACAAAAAGAATTGCCAAGGAAGAAAAATCCAACCAAGAGTGAAAATCATGATGTTGACAATCAAGAAAGAATAAGCGTTTTATAGAAATGATCTGTGCTGTTTAAAATTTTTATATAAATAACTGCTGTAAATCAAAATCGAATAATTTCAAAATGATCTTTGTTTTAGAGACTATTTTGATGTGTCTTTTGAACCTTGTTAAGTTCAGGGACTGATCCATATAGATGGAGTCGGTGTTTATATTTTTACAGAGAAAATATTGTTAACTTTTTAGCCATATCTGCCAGATACATAGTAAGCAATTAATAGTACTTTTAGAATATTTTCATTTTGTAAATTTGCTTGGCTTGGTTTTTAGTTGTAACTGTTTTTCATTGCCATCAATAAACTTTACTGAGAATTTCTAAAAATCGTGTGGTACTCAGTATTGCTCATCTCGTCTCATGGATGTAAAATGAGTGTTTAACCATCAGTCCATGCAGGTCGGAACAACAGGGGCCATGCTACGGGGAGGGAGGCGAAGGCCTGAGAACTTTGAAGATGCCAACCTAACACCTCCAAGGGCCTGTGCGTCTGCACCGTGTCTGCACTGTGGGTGTGCTCTCGTATTCCTAAAACTTGACTGTTGGTCAAGTTAACAAACTACCCCCAATTTTTGGTTTAGAAAGTAACAGACAGTTGAAAGCGGGAGCAGCAAGAGCTCAAGGCCCCGGTGGCCCCTCATGGCCTAATCAGTGCTCTTGAAACAGAAGCTCTGTTTTTCTTGAAGGGAAACTTTGCTGAGTCTGCATTGTGTCCATCCTGGAAATATCTTCCTTGAAAACCACTGTACCCATTAATTCTGGATGCTAATAGCTTTCTGCTTTTGGTGGTCAAATGTACCTCAGCAGGGCGGCAGTAAATGGATACTTTCTCTCTAACCAGAGCCTATTTTTATTTGTGTTATTATTATTATTATTCTCTGACTGTGACTGCTGAGTTTTATGAACTCAGTATTAACTTACATGACTTAGGAGCTGCAGAAGACCAAGGCTATGGGTGGAGGTCGGCGTTCCGCTGCCTCCTACTTGTCTTACAGTGCAGGCCTGGATTTCAGCGCATCTAAAACCTTTCCTGATTGGTTTGTTTGGGTTTCTGGATGTTATCTGTGGTACTCTGGGGGAAATCTAAAAGTATTCAAGGCTGATTTATTGGCAGTATTTCTGTTATACGCCGTCTTGTTTTTAAGTTTTTGAGGTTATGTGGGGGATGGGTATGAAACTTTATAGCTGACTCAATTGCAATATGAGGTTTCGAGTTTAACCTCTTTTTGTGAATTGTCTCAAAGCTTAATCCAAATAAGGTCTAGAAATTCACAATATTAATTTTAGTCTCTTTGTCCTTAAAAATTAATCCATAATAATTAAATCAAATCATTTTATTGCTACTAATTGAAGTCTTCTGAAAATCAATTCTTCCAACCACAGGCTTTATTTTCATATTTATTAGTAAGTTCAGCTTCCTACTCCCAAAGTGTCACTCCGTTTAAACATACATACTGCTTTAAGGTTGAAGCTCATAACTGCTGGAGAAACTTGATTACTTCCAATCAATTTTGATTTTAGGATGTAGGTCTTAAGTGCTCACTCTTTTGTAAAATTTTATTTTATTTATTGCTATTATTATTATTATTAATTAGTGTATGTGTGTGCGTGCAAAGGAAAGAGGACTACTCCAGGACTCCATGATTTCTGGAGATTAAATTTAGGTTGTTAGGATTGAGCCCAAAGTGCTCATCTTGTTGGCCCTCAAACTTCCTTACTCTAAAAACAAAGTCTTTATTTTCTGCGTGAGTTTGGTAGGTGACCTATTCCTCATGCGTTTACCAGCAGGAATATCTCCTAACGAGATGCCAATGTTTGCAAAGACCTATAGTTTGAATTTGTAGTATATTCTGCAAGAGAACTGTAGGTGGTCTGTGGACTGGCCTACTTAATGTTTATAATATGACAAAGTATGTAATTTTGTTTCTGGCATATATTAAATAGCCATAAAATCCAGATGGTTACCTCAGTAGTGCCTCATCAGAAGCACCTCCTTCCTGTCCATTTTGTTGAGTAATTTCTTTTTCCTGTGATAGCTGCGGGGAAATAGTGGAGTAGGTGGTCTTGGGTTTGTTTAGCCAAAGTGGCTAGAAGATTTTTTTTTTTAAGTTGAAAATCTGGTAAAGTTTTCTCGACCTCTTCCTGCCCAGCAGGAGCCTGTTTTGAGCCAATTTCCAACCAAATTCCTCATGACTAACTCTTCAAATACATGGACTGAGCAATAAACAGTTTGAGACTCTAAACTCGGGGAGGTAACTCAAGGTTGTCACTACTTCCCTTTTGAGAAAACTCCCTCAAGTTCTGAGATCCCCTACATGTGAAAGAAAAATGGTGATTCCAACTAAAAACTATGTTGATTTTGATGCAGAAAAGTAGAATGTGTTAATACCACTGACTGTTGTACTGGGTGTGCTATTTGATTGAAGATTTGAGCTTTAAGAGAGAAACATTTTTTTTAAGGTACTATTTTCTATACTAAGCATACATTAAAAGCAGGAGGTAGACTTTCTTTTAGCATCCGGAAATTACATGTTGACGGTGTATCACCTAGATGCCAATATAAGCAACTCTATCTTTGGAATAAGATGTCTTTGATGTTATTCTTCAAAGTGAACTTCTAACATGTTATGCTGGACATATCAAGTACTTTTTATTGAAAGAGATATGGACTAAATTGTTTATTTATTTAAAATTAGAGATGACTATTTGAGAACTTGTCTTTCTGTGTCATTTTATTGTATCTCTCTTGAAAAAACACATAACCCTAACATTAGTCATTCTTCTGTTGTATTATGTATGGGTTGTGTGTGTGTGTGTGTGTGTGTGTGTGTGTGTGTGTATGATATGTACAATGTATGTTATGTGTGAGTATGTGTAGAGTTCAGAGGACAACCTTGGGTGTTGGTCTTATCTTCCGCTTCACTTGAGACAGTCTCCTCTTTCTTTGTCCCTGCATGTATTTGCCAAGCTGGCTTGGCTGGTTTCTCTCCAGGACTCTCCTGTTTCTTCCCATCTCTCCTTAGGAGAACCAGGATTACAAACCACTACTAATCCCAGCTTTCTATGGGTCCTGTGCATTTGAACTCTGGTAATTATACTTTCTTGGTAAGCCCTTTACCCACTAAGTCTTCCCTCCAAACTTCTGGCACTTCTTACAGTTAAAACCCCAAAACCTTTCTAGATAAGCAGAGCATAGTAAAATTCAGTGTAGTGTAAGCGTGGAGTGGAGGTGGGTGTTACCAAGGAAACTGTTGACCTCACTGCTGACCTTTTTGACCAAAAGAGAATAAATTACACCAAAATGAAAGCCTTGGCATTTCTTTTTGCAAGAATATGATTTTGCTCCATTACAAAGATACTTAGAAAACTAAACACTTGCAAGAAGCATTTCTCCCCTTAGGATTGTATTCAAAAAATAAGCGAAGTTCGCGTTCTTTTCCAACTCACCCACTCCCATTTTTCTCAGATATTTATCAAGTAATGTGGTTTATAATCCAAACAAAAAAAGTTCCTTAATCCAGAACATACACACAGACACGATAACTCTAGGCGGATGCTGTTTGTACTTTGCTAAAACATTGAGGTCCTCTCTAAAACAAAGTGGTTTGCACACATACAGTCTAGAGTGTAAAGAATTATAGCGGAATGGTAAACATATCTGTGATTCTATCTAGCCATAGAATCAGAGTAACAGCACATTCCTGTCTGTCCTTTGGGGTGAACAAACTTAGAAAGAACCTGACTGTTCCCTTAAAAGAGGCCTGCCTCGGGACGTGCATATGTTTCCTTGTGTGGGAAAAGCACATTGACATTTACACATAATTGAGGCCAACCTGGAATTTGGCTCTTCCCCTTCCTTCCTAAGCCATTGTAGGCAGGCCCTTAGGAGAATGGAATTTAGTTGTTAGGACAGTCACCTAAGAACCTTGAGTCATGGAACAAAGTGGAGCTTAGTATAGGAATGTTAAGGATCGCCATTCTCCTTTATGTAACCCATACCCCAGTTTCTTGGGATACTGGGATGTGATTGGTAGACTTTTCTTGTAGACTTTGAACATTTTTACCAAGCTGATCATGTTGTCGTCATGTTGAACTGCATTGCTTGAAAGGGGTTCACTTTGACATTTTAACCTCTAATTTCAGAATCTCCGCTTTAATCAAGCCTTCTCAACCTTCCTGAGGGTTTATCAGGAGAACAGTTGTGACTAACACGTTAAGTGTTGGCCATGAAGGTTAGCTGGGCCTATGTATGAAGTTAAGCAAGTTAAGAGAAAAAAAGGGGTTGGGTAAGAAAGCTGGAAATGTCAGTGTTACTTATGATACTGAAAATGTGCTTTTGATGGACATTCAAGTTGTGAAATATCTAAATGGGTCAAAATGGTCAGAATTGGACTAAGTGAAAAGCTAAAATCTGTGAGCCCTTTGATGTTTGTGTATAATTCATGAACTGGAACCCACATAGCTTCGCATACCTGTAAAACTAGTATTCTTGATGCTGAGACAGGAGGATCAGGGATTTGAAGCCAAGTTGAGCTCATAGTGAAATCTGGTCTCACAAATGAAACAACAGCCATTCAGTCCACTACACATTGGAGTGCATTCAGTACAAACAGCAAGTTTGTGTGTGTGTGTGTGGGGGGGGTGAGTGTTGGGGGGATTGGGAGGCCAGTGTTGGTTTTGTTATTTGCATTTTTCTGTAGCATACACTTGTGGAGGAGCAGTTCTCCATAGAACTCTTGCATTCTCTGTGTCTATCTAAGTAAGGTATGTACCTGAACTGTAATGTGCTGGGAATCTGGAAGAGAAGGTTTTCTTCAAGCTCTTCCTACAAGTCACAGGACAAAGGTCAAGCAAGCATGCATATAGTCTTGGAAAATAGTGTCTCATCTCCAGATTAAAAGCATTGTTAATACCCTTGATTTTTTTTTCTCAAGAACTATTCTAAGTTCACATATTTTTCTTTGTAATAAAACTCACTGTGTGTACAATTACCTCTTTGAACCTATTGGCCCCACCACCTTAATCTTATACTGATTGTCATGCTTGCTGCATATGTATTATAAAATTCCTTGTACATTATTCAGAAGGCTCATATCTCCTGCCAGCACTGATGAAACTGGCCATTAACTTGCTGAATTATCAAAAGCAAAGTCTTGGATCCTTTACAGTTCTCACACTTGGGTGATGAGGGTAGGATGCTGGCAGAGATGTTGCTCACTAAGAAAGGATGAGCTTTCTGACCAAATAACAGGATTTTAAGGAAGTCCACGGGAGTTGCTAATAAACCTCCAGGGCCACCCAGGTCACAGAGCAGGCTTTATTGCCTG